ACCGGAGAATAGTTCCGGGCTTCCTACCCCATGGCGTCACATCTCGACTCTTGTGTTTCTCCTTCCCAGAGTCCTCCTGGACTCCTAGTCCCTCCTATCTAGATTCCCTATAGGCCAGACAGTGCTTTATTGACAAAGGCACAGGACTTCCCCAACACCCGCCTCTACAGTTCTGGGCTGCCCATGCTCTGTTTTTATCTTCTCACCCGTGACAACCCCTTTGGCTGACTACCTGTGGAGCCAGGCGACTCTTCATACTGTGAGCCATTTCTGTGTCCCATGGGAGTTTTGCTCGTCCCCTCCCGGTCCTTGCCTGTTTAGTACAGGGTGTGGAGGGTAATGGCTAGTCAGAAGGGAGTATAGCTCTGCTAAACTTGCTCACGCTTAGGCCGTTGTGGCAGGGGATGGGGGCCGTTTGCTTTATCCCTTCCCTCCCTGTCCCTGGCTTCCCTGTACTATATAGGTGGGGTTTGGGGCACTGAAACATACCTGTGTCACTCATTTGCTTTGGGGTGGGGGCAGCTGCTATGCACCCCAGTGTCTTTGCAGTCTGTCACCCCCCCTCTATTTTGTTGGAAGCTGCACCAAATAGGGCTTGTGGGCAGTTGTCCTTCCAGTGGCAGACTTCCTAGGTGTCCCCTTAGCAGTAGGGAGGCAGGACCCAGAGGAAGCCACATGTCTGGGACAGCCTCGGGTCACACCTCAGACTAGCTCTAAATGCGTGTCAATCACCCGCACCCAACTAGCGATTTCTCCCCTTAAGGCAGACAGGAGGACTATGCTGGCATTTTCCTTTCTCCCTACCTGAGTCCGGAGAGGGCATCCCTGGTCCACTGCTAACACCTCTCCCAACCTGCAATGACTCTAATGACATCAGACACCTGGAGCTCCTCCTATCCAGACAGACTCAGCAAGGCAGGAATGGAGCTAACTCAACTTCTTATCCTCCTGCCTCCAGCATGGCCTCACCCGGCAGCTGCCCCCCAGCACGTCTGCTCCCCACCTTTGGACAAACTCCAGATCAGTCATGGGGAGGCAACACAGCCCCCACGCTGTGCTGGGCCTTTTCTTAATTGATGCTGCAGAACCTGGAGGCTTGCGTCCATCACCAATCCCTCGTAGATTGAGAGAGACAGGGGTGTTCTGATCAATGGCTGAGTGCCGGAGGACAAACTGGTGTGGGACTTCCCTGGGAAGTCTCCCTCCCTGTGTTCTCCTGTCATCAGAATTTACAAAGCTTCTAAGTGAACAGTCCCCGGAGAATAGCCCTAGAATTTTGCAAGTCATGAGCCTGGATATAAACTCTTAGTCTGCACACCACTCCAACCACCCCTCCCCAACACAGGCAGAGCAAGGCAGAGGGATCGCTACAGCCTATGTGGCTCGGAACCTCCCAGTTCAGGGCTAACTAAGGACTACACCAACTGCAATGTGGAAAGCTGGCTTGTGTGTGTGTGTGTGTGTGTGTGTATATTTATATGTGTGTGTCTGTGTGTATATGTCTGTGTGTATATGTGTCTGTGTGTGTCTGTGTGTATGTGTGTGTTTATGTATATGTATGTGTGTGTATATGTGTCTGTGTGTATATGTATGTGTGTATATTTATATGTGTGTATGTGTGTGTTTGTGTGTGTATGTATGTGTGTGTATGTATGTGTTTGCGTGTGTATATGTATATGTTTATGTGTGTATATGTATATGTATGTGTGTGTTTCTGTGTGTATGTGTGTGTATGTGTGTATATGTATGTGTGTGTATGTATATGTGTCTGTATGTGTGTTCATATGTATATGTGTGTATATGTATATATGTGTATGTATGTGTTTGCATGTTATGTGTATGTATATGTATATGTGTGTGCTTGTGTATGTGTATGTATATGTATATGTGTGTATGTGTGTGTATGTATGTGTTTGTGTGTGTATGTGTGTGTGTTTGTGTATGTATATGTGAGTATGTACGTATGTATGTGTGTCTGTATGTGTCTGTGTGTACATGTATGTGTGTGTATGTGTGTGTATGTATGTATGTATGTGTGTGCATGTATGTGTGTGTGTATGTGTGTGTGTATATATGTATGTGTGTGCATGTATATGTGTATGTATGTTTGTGTGTATGTATGCTTGTGTGTATGTATGTATGTTTGTGTATGTGTGTGCATGTATGTGTGTATGTGTGTGTATGTATGTTTGTGTGTATGTATGTTTGTGTGTATGTATATATGTTTGTGTATGTGTGTGCGTGTATGTGTGTATGTATGTTTGTGTGTATGTATGCTTGTGTGTATGTATATATGGTTGTGTATGTGTGTGCATGTATGTGTGTATGTGTGTATGTATATATGTGTGTATGTGTGTATGTATGTGTGTATGTGTGTATATGCATGTGTGTATGTGTGTATGAATGTATGTATGTGTGTGTATGTGTGTATGTGTGTATGTATGTATGTGTGTATGTGTGTATGTGTGTGTATATGCATGTGTGTATGTGTGTATGAATGTATGTATGTGTGTGTATGTGTGTATGTGTGTATGTATGTACGTGTGTGTATGCATGTTTGTGTGTGTATGTGTGTATATGTATGTGTGTGTGTGTTGTGTTGCTGTACATGTGTGCACGTGGAAGCCAGAGGTCAGTAAGTCATCCATTTTGTCTATTGACACAGGGTCTCTCACTGGGAGCTGGGGCTCATGCTCTAGGCTACTCGAGCCCCAGGGATCCTCTTGTCTACGCCTCCCTAGCACCAGGGTTATACTGTACAGCACTGCATCTTCCCTTTAACATGGGTGCTGGGAACTGAACTCACGTCTTCTTACTTGTGGGACAAGTACTGTAACTACTGAGCCTTCTTCCCATTACCTGAGTGCTGGTGTTTTAATGGTTAGATTTTAATACTGAATGACACAGAAAAGAAAATAAAACTCAAAAGAATGGGGCAAGGCTCTTCCTTGTTAGAGATAGCTGAAAGCCCCGTCTAAACAGAAGCAGATAGGAACTTATGAACAGAAGTTGGTTGTAGTGGTAATGTCTCTAATCCTAACACTCAGGAAGCAGAGGCAGGAGGGTTGTAGGTTAATTGATAGTCTGGGTTTCTGTCCTGGTTTGCATTCTTTTTTTAAAGTATTTATTCTTATTTTATGTGCATTGATGTTTTGCCATGGGTCTCAGGTGCCCTGGGGCTGGACATACAGACAGTTGTGAGCTGTCATATGGGTACCGAAAATTGAATCTGGGTCCTCTGGAAGCACAGCCAGTGCTGTTAACCACTGAGCCATCTCTACTGTTGTGATAAAACACTGACTGAAAGCAACTTGGAGGGAAAAGGCTTATTTTGTTTTACAAGTCTGAAGGGGGAAACGGGGGAGGAACCTGGAGGCAGGAATGGGAGCAGAAACCATGGAGGAGTGCTGCTTTTTGGCTTCTCCATCTTGCTTTTAAAATACAGCCCAGGACCATCTGCCCAGGGATGGCACCATTCGCAGTGAGCTAGGTCCCTCCAAATCTCATCACCATCATCATCATCATCATCATCATATCATCATCATCATCATTATTATTCTTGCTTTCTTGATACGGGGTTTCTTTGTATAGCTTTGGCTGTCCTGGAATTCTCTCTGTAGACCAGGCTGGTCTCAAACTCACAGAGATCCACCTGTCTCTGACACTGGAGTGCTGGGATTGAAGGCGTGTGCCACCACGCTTGGTCTCTGCATCAATAATTAATCAAGAAAATGCCACACACGCTTGCCTACAGGTCAATCTTTCAATTGAAGTTCCCTCTTCCCAGATAACCCTAACTTGTGTCAAGTTGAGAAAGAAAGAAAGAAAGAAACAAACAAACAAACAAACAAAAAAACGACCAGGACAGTTAGCCAGGGATTTCTAGGCCAGCCTCTGATATACAGGGAGACCCTGTGTCCCACAGAAAGACACTTGCCCACAATTTCAGTGTCCCCACTGCTCTTCAGTTCGAACAGATTAAATGCTGTCACTGTGCGGCCCATGAATGCTCTCCAGTGGCCAGAAGTCGGTCTTGGGGTCAGAAGGGGCATTGGCTTGCAGCACTCCAAATGTTTGAGCCTCTTGGGCCAAAGCTGCCACTTTCAGCTTTCTAAATCTGTCTGTGATCTTTGTTTGCAGATCAGTACCCTCAAATCCACGGGGAATTCTCCTTTAACTGAACTGTGAACTAGCTCCTGTGGGGAGAGGACTTTCCCTTGCCCCATGTGATGCCTTCCATGGGATGATAGTTAAGGTGTGGCAGAGGAGAGTGGGGTGGTGATCCCACATTGTCTCAAGTACCTAGCCAGTGGCTCTGGAGCCTCTCTGGATGGGCATCCCAGCTGGCTATCTGGGCCTCATCTCACAAACTGAGCACTCAGGCAGTTGACACTGTCGGGGGTGGGGTGGGTCTGAATGCATTGGTGACAGAGTGAGCAAACTGGGCCACTGTTCTGGACCTGGTTCAGCAGAGTCGACTGATGCCAAATACGGCGTCCGTTGAGTTGCACTGGGGCGCAGCCCTTTGAGGGACTCACCAAACACCTCTCCCCTCCTCGGTCCCTGAGCAGGCTTGGCCAGTTGAAATCTGGGTGGGATTTCGGTCTCCTGTAGGGAACACCATGAACTGGAGTGAGAAGAAGGCTCCTAAGCCCCCTGCTCTCAGCCAACATGCCAAGGAGGAGCGAGGGGCGAGCCTTCTCTGCTCTATTTCTTCTCCTGGCCTACCTGGAGAGGAGGAGATGGCTGGAAGCCCTGTCTCCTCCTCTTCTGCAGGTGGCGTTTCCCCCGCTGAAAACAAGCTGAGCAAATTTGACTCATCACAGCAAAGGTCACACAAGCTCCTGCTTGGCAGATCGTTAGAAGAATTGGGGACAGCGAGGCTAGCAAACATTTCTTTGGCTCCCCCAAAGCCCAGCAAGTTGCCCCCAGATGAGTGCTATTCATGTATCTTCTTGAAGACTGTCATTTCAAACTTCTAACGGGCCTTCTTTTTACAGTTCCCGAACACCACGGCTTTAAGAACACCCTTCACCCAGGACGGAACTCCGTGGCTTTAAGTCTTGCCTGGTAAGGATCACCATCACTTCGTAGTTTTATAGTTTGTCGAGGGGTGTGTGCGCACGTGTGGGTGCGTGTGCATGTCTGTGTGGGGGGGGCGGCGGAAATCCAGGCTGCCTTTTCTTGGGGGAGGGCAACTTGTCACAGGTCTCTTGCTAAGACAGAACCTTTCTTGAAACCTCCTCCCCCCTATTCAGATGGTTGCAGTGGGATGTGGATTCAGTGGGCTGTGGCCTGGGGTTCAGGTTCTTCTGGGTGGGATGAACATATCCTCAGCAGAGAAGCCCTCCTGAAGCCCAACTGAAGCCACCAACTTAGTGGAACCTAGCAAGGACCACTTCATTCACTGTGTGTGGCGTCTGGGCTGTGGCAGTTTGGGACCAGAGCTGGAGCAGCTGGAAGCCAGGCGACCCCTGGAGGGCACCACCTGTGGTCTCTTTCCCTGACACTCCCACACGATTTGGTGGACTGGCCCCAAGCTGGGGGACGTTTGTCCCAGAGCAGTGACATATCTGTCAGCTCAGTTGGCCCCGAGACTCCAAGCTCACAAGTGGAGTGTTTCCCCTACACAGAAGCCTGCAGAAACTTGTATAATACAGGAGCGTCATGGGGATGCGATGCCTTTGTTGGCCCCACTTGAGGTGGCCCCAGAATTTCTGTAAACCTGCCTCAGATCTGATTAGTCCAGTCCACCTTCTTCTGGCTGTGCATCTCTGAGGTCACTCTATAAACCATGGGAAATTGATAGTGGAATTATGCACTCAGAAATTAATTTTACAGTGTACTAAATATATGTATTTTTTTATTGTGACTTTATCTCATTGGGGGAAAGTGCTTACTTCTGATTTTGTGGATATTACTGACCGTGGATTACTTTTATTTTGGTTTTTACACAACAGTTATATTAGAAATTTGCTGTTTTATTCTTACCTTCTTAGTAAAAATCCTTTTATCACACAATGGGTAATTTATATCCATTACCAGGCCTTTCAATCCTTTTCAGCGGGCTGTCAGTGCCGTTGGCACAGCAATGATTAATGTGATCTAATAATAGTGTACCATTATATTACCTTAGTAAAACATGTACCAACATCCTATTCGGATCTACCAAATTCATAGCTTCCTATAATATTTTTGTTGAAAGACAGGATTACTATTTTTCAAAGCTGATTTCCCCCCCTTTAACATATTTAATGAAATTCACAATTCTTTGCCTTAGTAATCCAGGGCATGTGATTGGACGTGACGGGCGAATTCCAGGTCTGTAGGCACTGTTGTGATTTGTCAGTTAAGACTGTGACAGTCCCAGTGATCTGCTGGGAAGATTAGTTTGTTTTTGTCGGGTCTGGGTTGCTTTGCCTTGAAGAGGAAGAAGAAGAAACGGAGCAATATAAATTGCCGATCTCCGTTCCATTCTGACATCAATAAAGAAAGTATATGTTAGGTCAAAAGGCAGAAAAAAAACATGCAATTTGGTTCCAACTTGCTTCTATTTCCTGCCATTTGGTCCCCTCTTTCTGCTGGGGCACAGGAGAGGTGACAAAGTCAGAAGAAGCAGCACCACAAAGATGTCCCAGGATGCTCCTGTAAAGCCCCATCTTCACTTTTACCCATGACCAGATCTTGTTGGGTCTGACACAGGACCCCTCAGCTTTGGCACTTTTAGTACGTTAAGCTAGATAATTCGGCACTGTAGGAAGTTGTCCCTACAGCAGGATGTTTCACAGCACCGTTGGTCTCGTCCTGCCCTAAGCACAGACCTTTTCCATACTGGAACAACCAAGATGTATCCCGAAATCTCTCCATGTCCCTGGGGATCCAGTCAGTCTTTATTGGAGCCCATTCACCCCACGCAATAGACACACAAACGCATCCCCGTGAGTATGAGGGAACTCCAGAGGGGACACCTGGAGTCTCAGGAATCTCTTACCCATCTTTGGCTCTTAGAGGGGGGACATGTGGATGGTGGGCACACAGCTTCCTTTGCTTGGCTGAAGTACAGTCCCCTGCCTTCGTTTTCCCTCCCCCTCTGTCAGAGAGCCAGGCCTGAGCAAGGGTCTGAATCTTTAGCTTCTTCCACTTAAATCCCATTATAATCACGCCCGTGATTGATAACATTCCACCTTTTCAAAGGGCTTTAAAATCTGTGTCAACCAAGGATGACATTATTGCAGTGCCAGAGAGATGTATTCAAACAATTACACACTCAAATCGAAGTGGGAAGGGTTGTCCTTCTATCCACGATGCCATTGTGATGTGGCTGGAGGCAGCATCTGAGCCCATTCCCAGCCCCAACCTCACCCCCGATCTCAGCCCCACACAAAGCTTCAGCAGGAAAATAAATAAGACCCAGGTTTTGCCCGTTGAACCACTCAGCTTGAAAGGTAGCTTGAATTTCGGGACTGCTTATGACTGGAGGTGGGAGAGAGGGAGGGAGGGAGGAAAGAAGGGAGAGAGAGAGAGATCTTATTTTTGATTCAGAACAAGAATTACTACTGCAACATTGACTTGAAATATGCAATCAAGTGAAATCAGGAAAAGTATTTTGAATTCAAAATTTATATTGAAATACTCGAATCTTGATACATGTGCACTCACATACATGTATATATTTAAATCAAGATAGAGAAGATGAGGAATAAAGCTTTTGTCATAAAAATACTACTGCAATATTTACCCTCAGATGATTCTGCATCATTGGAGTGTATTTTTGTACCATTAACATTTTCCATATGAGACATTCTTGCTTGTTTTAACAACAAATGAGCAAATGGAGCTAATTTACCTTTGTGTTAGGAAGATTTCAAATGCACTGTGATACTTGGGGTGGGAAGCATCTTTACCCACTTATGGTCTGTCTCCCATATGGAAGGGTAAGGTCAGTGAGGGTAAGGGTCATTTGTGTGTTATTCAGTGTTACTTCCCTAGTTCTTGGAATGGTACTTGATGGACAGTAGGCTCCTAACAGTTGAAAACGGGTGGGTTGATAGATACATACATGGATGGATGGTTAGGTGGATGAATGGGCATTTGGAAGGAAGGGTAGGTAGATGGACGTTTGGAGTGGATGACTGGGTAGAAGGGTTAGATGGTTGTGTAGATGTGTAGATGGATGAATATATAGAAGGCTGGGTGGATGGATGTGAATGCATGTGTGGTAAATGTGTGGATGGGTGGGAATGTGAATGAATGGAGAGAAGGATGGGTGGTTAGGTGGGTAGCTAGGTGGATGGATCAATATATGGGTAAATGGATAGATGTATAGATGAGTAGGTAGATAAGCAATAGGTTGAACAGATAGGTAGATGAATGGAATGGATGGATGGATAGATGGGTAGCTGAGTACATGGTGATGAGTTGACTGATATAACGAGCATTCTTCCTGCCAGCCTGGTCCCAGTGCTGCGCCTACCCCAAATAACACACAGAGGCTCTATTAGTTACAATGCTGTCGGCCAACGTCCAGGACTTCTCATTGGCTAGTTCTGTCTTAAGTATTAACCCATGACTACTAATATATATTTCTGTAAGGACTTACCTTTCCAAGCATGGCATCCTGACGCGTCCTCTCTTCCCCCCGGATCACATGGCGACCCCTACTCTTGACTACATTTCCAAGAATCCTCCTTCTCTCCTAGTCCCGACTATCTTGCTTCCCTATTGGCCAACAGTGTCAACATATACACAGAAGATCTTACCCCTTCAGACTGATAGGTGGGTAGAGGGGTGAGTGGATGATACTTTGCTTCAAGTCTTAACATAAATTTATAAAAAGTAGTGAAATGCTGTATTTCCCACGTCTTCACTTTTGGCCTGTTAAATCTCTCTCTCTTTTTTTTTAACTTCAAAACAGGCAGTTACACCCAAGCATCCTCATTATCTCTTCCTTTTAGTTATATTTTTTCCAAGCAGAGGAAACTGTCTAAGACTATGTAAAGAAATCATTGAAAGTGGAAAGTTGCCAAAAATATATGTAAAGATCTCTAAGAGCACATACGCCTGTCTGTGACTGGGGTGAAAGACTCGCACTAGAGAGAATGAATGGGTAGAGGGATGTATAGATAGGTGGATGGGTCAATGAATGGGTTGGTCGATGAATGGCTCAAGTAGGGGCAGGTGACCTGTTTCAAAGAGTAGGTAGCTCATGAGGCTCGGTAGACTCACTTGTGTCCACACATTATGTCTATCTCCTGGCTAAGACTGTAACTGTGTGTGTTTCACATCTGTTAGAGGCTCTCTGTGTCTCCTTCCAACTTATCCCGTTTCATTTCCTTGGACCGGACCATGTTCAACCATGTAGGGTCAAGCTATCTTTAGGATGGGCTGAGAATCCAGCCTGTGGTGTGTGTTCACAAGACTAGGTATAGTCAGTGCAACGAATGTATTAGAAGTGTCATCCCAGTGATGGGGATGGTCCAGGTATCTTCATCACTGACCCTTATATTACTGTACAGTGATAACCATTGCAGCATCAGGGAGAAAATAATACAGAAGGGAAAGACATCCATTAGTTATCACACTGGGTCTGGAGTCCTAGCACAAACGTGTGAGTTTTGGAATCATATTCCCTCAGTCAGGACATCAGCTCGACTTCTCATTGGCCGCGTGAACATGTGCCAAGTGGCTTACGCTTCCATTTTCTCACCTGCATGTTGGGAATAACACTAATGCCCGGCCGTGGATTATACCGTGCCACGGACTCAACACAATGTCTGGCTCCAAGTTGACAATGAACGTATGCGATGCTCATTGTTTCCACTTTATCTGCTTAGTCATCCCTTCATTTCTTCTGCTTTTAAACAAGAATAATGAAACTGTAAACCGTTTTCAGAAAACTAAGCCCTCTCTGGCTCCTACCAAAGCTAGTATCCTCAATTCATTGCCAGGCATGTGGTCTCCCTAACACCCTTGGGGACCTTGGTTAGTAAGTTCAGAAGACTTCACAGAGAGTGGTGAGTTTCTTAAGCCAGCTTCCCCATCCCATTTCTTTTGTGAGGGAGCATTGTTGA